CCCCCTCCGTCCCTGGTTATACCTAAACGCTTAGCTGGAAGAGCGAGAAACCATAATCGCAGCCCTGGAAAGCCTCCCTGAGGTGAAGACGGTCAGAGAGTTCCCTGCGAACGGGGGATTTAACTGACGCCTGCTGCCTGCCTTTCTGCGGAACCAACCGCGGGGGGCGATGCTTCCAAGTGTTTCTGTGTGGCTCTGAAGAGTCGAGAGTTTTTCAGTCTAGAGTTCCTTGCTTTGAAAACCAGGCGTGGCCTGTCGGTGCCCTGCCCTCCTCCCTGGCGTTGCGAGGCGTGGTGTGGTGTGCGGTTTGGTTTGGTGTGGGACGCTTATTATGTCCACCCAGCCCACGTCCCTTCCCCAGCCCCCACGTTTGATCTGGTTACATGGACGTGCGTCCAAAAAAATGGTGCTCTCTTTACACCTCTGTCCTGTGAGTGTGGTGTTGCATGGGGGGCTTAGAGCCGGCCAGCGTGGATGCTTGCTGCTGCTGCTTATTTGCCTGTCCCGTACCTGTTGAGCCGGCGGATGGCGTATGTGTGTGTGTGTTTCCGGAATAGGAACCGTTGCAGGCTGACCTCCAGGTCCGGGCGACGCGCGCGTGTGCCGTGAGCCGACGTTTGTGTGTCGCTTGCTGCCACCGAGCAAGAGCACGGTGTGGGGGTTGTGTTTGTTTCGAAGCTTGGCTGTGTCTGTCTGTCAGTCTGTCTGGTTGTTCTTGGTTACACTGTTTCTGGTGGGCAGGTATGAAGGCGGTTGAGCGCTCTCGCGCAAAAGGTTCAACGAAAATTTCATGGAAACGCTGGTGGAGGAGAACACTTTGAGTCACGAAACATGATATGCGTGTGCATACATGTGTAGGGAAATGAACTCTTTTTGTTTCATTTATCTCTTTTCTCCGAACCAAGATATATTCTGGAGGGGAGCCAAAGGCGCTCCTGTAGGTGTGGTATTCAGACGCGAAAACGACAAGTGCCGGTTGGTTCCGTTGTTGCCTTCTTCTGTGAGGCGTTCCCTCTCCAGTTTCCGAGAGAGCATGTAGCATGTGGCCCTCCTCGCCACGCTTTTCCTCTCCATTAGATACGACACAACAAGAAACGTTGTGTCTGTTCGTGTGATGATGTTCTTCGTGATCCAATGCGTTAGGATGGCCTTGATGATTGATTCCGGCCGGGCGTTGATATATTTCGGGCCGCGAGTCTTTCGTTTTTCGCCCTTTTTATCTGTTTGTTGGCAGGAGGGGACCGGCCGGCCCCGCGTGCTCATGAGGTACTCCGTTTTTTTATTGTACCTATAGCTTAGATGGCCTGACAGCTTTGACGGTCGTTGCCGCTGCCTGCCTGGTGAGCTGGGTCGTTCTTCGTTTTTAGTGTGGTGAGGGCTTCATGTGTTGTGCGCCCGTTTTTCGATTGTCTGTCTGCCTACCCCCTTGTCTGCCTCATTTTTGTATGGCGAGTGTGCGGATGGACCGACATATGCATACAACATTATTGCTGCAGCCCGGTTTTGTTTCCGCGGACGGGTCTGGTCTTCAGTAGCTAGCCGCGTTTCTGTCTGTCTGACAATTGCTGCCGCTGCTGCGATGTGCGTTGTCTCCTATCCATCCGCCTCGTCGTCCGTTCCGCATGTTTTGGTAAGGCCTCTGTGTGCCCGTGTGTGTAGTTGATGTTGGGATTACAGAGTTCAATAATTCGGCTTATGGGTCCGCGTGACTTCGGGAGAGATACGACGGCGGGGTTCGTCCTGCTGTTCGTTTCTAGGCGATGCCTACAATGTGGCAACAACATGCAGTCTTTCGGTTTTCAACGCGCACCGTGGATGCTGAAGGTGTGCTACCACTGTCTGTCGGGGTCACCAATACACAGTGATGTGCATATGGGCGGGGAGTGTCGACCGTGGCATGCCCACTATAACGGGCAGCATATACAATTGCGTCGGCAGTTCAACAGAACCATAGGGGGGCTGGGGCGGGGGCGGGATTGGTTCGACCTTGGAGGAGGGGCCCGCGAATCGTCCAAAAAAAGTGAGCAGGGCTTGTTTTCAGCAGCGCAATTCTGGGAAAGAGACTGGGGAAAACAAGACTGACTGACTGACGGCGCGTTTGATTGTGCGTACCTTTCACGAAATTTTAGAGAAAAACAAGACCAAACAAAAATAATAGGTGTTCCAAGAATATGAGCTTTCTTAGTAAAAAATGGGCAGGGAGCTAGATAGAGTCGGGGCTTTCGGCAGTGGGAAGAGGGAGAAGGGTTGTTGGTTCTTGCGGAGCATGGCACGAGTTTGTCCGACGTCTGACGACGACGAACCGGTTGTTGTAGTGATCAACTCACACACGCGGAAACCCCGCTCGTTCTACAGCAGTAGACTACCTGCGCCGAGGGCGAGAGAGCGGTTTCTCTGTCTCTTGGTCTGGGTCTCGCTCTCTGGAACCACGGTGGTCTATGGTCACCTACCTCTGCATGTTTTCGGTAGAGAAGGCAATGCATGGTGGACGCTGCTAACAATGAAAACAAGTAACAGTAAGTGTTGTTAGATTGACCCCGACACGCTGTTGCTTGCAGTGAGTGGTACCTGGTCGTCATCACCATCATTAACGGGACTGGCGGCTGGGGAGCGAACACTGCGCTACGATGCATGGCGATGATAACGTTGTGGTAGTAACGGCAAGGATGAGTCAGACGAGGTTCATCACGCGCCCTTCGTCGGCAAAAGAACGAAAAAACGCCTCTTCGTCATTTCGGATCGGAGCAGGACAACCTCAGCCTCACGGTGGCTTCATTTAGCTGTGTAAGGCGCAATGCCGAAGACGCGATTGGGTCCTGTAGCCAGAAGTGCGACAAAATACTCAAGAGAAACACGTACCAGGCGGCCGTCATGAAACCATGTTGGAAGGGTGCCACAGCGGAGCTCCACCGTCTGTGATGGCTTTGCGAACAACAAACCGACACTACTGAACAAATAAATTACTTGTATGTGTTGATCAGCCACTTTGTAGAACATAAGCCGAAAGGCAATCGTCTGCAGACTGGGATGTGGATTCACTGGCCAACACCAGACAAAAAACAAATACCCACACCATAACGCGCAAAATGTGGTCGGTTAGGGTACTTATGTGTAATATCTGATCAGATTTTTTTTTATCAATTATGATCTAGGTGTCACATCCGGCTTCTTAGGCTGCTTATTATGTGTCATTTTCGCCAGATTATTTTTGATCAATAATGATCTAGGTGTCACATCCGGCTTCTTACGACACCTAGATCATTATTGATCAAAAATAATCTGGCGAAAATGACACATAATAAGTAGCCTTAGCGCACAAAATACTGATGCAAAGTTTAAGCAGGGGTGCTCTGGTGGACCACGACGACAATATAGTTATTCGCTGAAACCATTGCCTCTGCTTGAGTCACGGATTGCCGAGTTGTAGACAAAACGAGTGGTGTGTTATGGGACGTCCAGTCTTCGACCTTTGAGAAAATCAGCACAACCTCCCCCGTACGCTCGACACTGGGGCAATCATACGACAGACCCGGCTCATATCCCGAAGTAGGGCGAGGCACGGCAGGACCGTCCAACTCGGGGCACGGACCGAGTCGAGAGCACGGGTAGAACAACAAGAGGAAACATCCAGTCGCCGCGGTCGTGCCGGCGCTACATTGGCAACAATTATCTCGCGGCACATACGAGGGGGGCACCAAGAAGGGAACCACACAAGAGAGAGGACTAAGGAGCAACGAAACGAATCCCTCGTCCTCTGGATGGCACACTCCAGCGTCCCCCTGTAGTAAAACAATGTTATTTAATTTTGCGCTAGGTGACAGCGTGCATTTGTTGCGAATGTTATGACATTACCGGCCAACCGCCATGATGCCATGGCAAAGTGAGCTGCCTGATTCTACGTCTGCGGTGAATACTCAGATGCTCCGCCCCCCCCCGCCCCCCCCTCTTGACCATATTTCGTACATAGGCATCACACACAAAGAAAGGAACATTCGACAGCGCCACGACGGCACGTAAAATGCAGCCAGCATGTCGTGTTCCTTTTCGAACACCTACTACAATTGTTCGATTGCACACCACCAAACAACACACGTCAGCTGGCCGGTTATATCATCAACACAGCCACACAACATCAAGAAAACGAACAGAGCAGACAAACAGCAGTCATGCTCATCAATAATCTTACCCACCTCTCACACCAACCCTCAAATGTTAAGACACTGTCATGTCCGACACACTGGAATCCCACCGCACAGACACTACCCACGGATGCGCGAACACGGCCTGGCCAGTCCACGCTTGCCTCTTGAAACGCCTCCTCAAAACGTTTGTCGAAACCCAGAAACAGAGAAGAAACAAAAATCGGAACGTGTTTTACCCGCCGCAGATGGAATACACTCCTTCCCTCTTTCGCAATTTTCACAAGAAAAAGTTTTTCTTGTGCTTCGATCGACTTCCCGGAATAAACGGCCATGACGAAAAAAAAGTCACTAGCAGTCGGTTGCAACAAGGGCGCACGATCGGTCATCCCTGTCGTTGCTGGTTTCTTCATCAGCCCCGCCGCCAACCACAACGGCCCCGTCCTCATCCTCATCCTCCTCCTGCCCGCCCGCGACCGCACTGCCGCAGGGGCCGTCGTACACGGACGCCGGATCCCGCGGGACTCCGGTCCTGTCCTCGCACCCCAGCCGGAAGAAGACGTGCACGTGGAACCAGTCGATGGACCGCTCGCCCTCGTTGTTGTCGCACTCCCACTCCACAGCGTGGGGGTGGTTCTCCGCAGCCCACCCCTGTACGAAGGCCTCCATCTCGTCCTTCGGGAGGTCCCTTCGGCTCCACAGCGTCCAGTGCTCCACGTCTGTCGGCACGTCGTAGGGGAACATGTTCCGCTCCAGGACGATGTCCCGCCGCGCCCCCGTGAAGGGACACGTGAACACCGTCTCTTCGATGAACTGTTTGTTTGATACGATTGGAGAGGGCCGGGGGCGAGGGGAGTGAGTAAGGTGATGAGGGGAGTACAACGGTTGCGGGCCTTAACGGCTGATCCATGCTTTGGAATGGTTTCTATGGGAGCGTTCAGGTGGCGACTGTGGCGACCAAAAACGCATAAATTTTGAGTCGCATCGCTCAAGATCTCGTCATCTCTGACCCACTGGCATTGCAAATAACGCAAGCGAGAAATTCGTGGGATGAGACATGATCGACAGAATATACCACGCACCATTTTCGTGAAAGGGCAAGCGCCATCATCCGTAGTTGGGACACCCGCCCGAGTGCTCAAAAACAACTTCTACCAACGACAAAACATGGAGTACACGATATTCTGATCGGACGGACACCGGCGTCCTAACTCCTTCGAGACACATGTACGAAACAGTAGTCACGAGCTAAAGCGCTCGCTCGCGCGACCGTTTTTGAGGGGGCACCATGGCTACGATGTAAGATCGATGCCGGCGGCTCTGGAGAAAATAAAACACGTGCACAACGCCAAACTCATGAGAAATACAACACAAAATCACCTGTTCCCGGGAGTAGGCCACATCGTCGATGAAGTCGATGTGCTTCGACTTCGCAGCCTTGCAATTCGGGGTGCGAACCCAGTATTCCATCTGAGGATGGGTGCAACAGAAATCGGTCGACGGCAAGGGAGGAAGGGGGAGGGGGGGCAGGGCAACGTTGGCGGTCCGTAACAACAAGTAACAAATAACCACTGGCTGATGTTTGTACAGAATTGCATTTGATTCGGGGTTTCCCCACGGTTTTGAGATGAAAGTGCAAACAACGGCTTACTGCTGTTGATGGGGCTGCGTGCGTACCCTCCTGCCGAATGGGCTTTTAAACTCCATACGCGGATAGACATCGTAGGACGCGGTCGACTTCACCTTCCGAAAACGAGCAACGCTCTCAAGGGGTCAACAAGGATAACATGGCGTTGCCACAACCGCGGAAACCCCCGACGGTTCATGCGGGCGACGTCTCGCAGCGCTCCCTCTGCCGTTTAACCAACAACACAACAGTTTAAAGGGCAATAATCCACCCATGCCCATACCGGCAAGGTGCGAGGGATGGGCGTCTTGGGCGTGCGGCTCGAGCGGCACCACTCCAGGCAACGTGCGCATTCCACCCCGGAGCGACTTTCGGCGGTGGTCGCCGCCTTCTTGCTGCTCCTGCCCCGGCTGTCGCCCCTGCTGCTCCTCTCCCTGCTGCAGCTCCTGTTTCTCTTCCTGGTGCTGCTGCTCGCCTCGCTGGCGTAGTCCTTGCCAGTGGAGGAACGTCGGGTGGGCAGGGGGCAGAAGAATTGCCTCCCTCTGCTGCTGCAGCGGTCCCTGCGGCCACTGCTGTCTCTTCTCCGCCAGCTTGCACCATCGCCACCGCAAACGGCGCTGCTGCTACTGCCGCTGCGGCGTCCGCCGCTCCACGAAGCAGACGGCTGAGGAAAGTAGTCCACACCGCCGCCGCCGTCGGCTCCCGCGGCCATCGACGAAGGGCGTGAGGAAGCATATGAGGATCTGCGGCCGCTGCTGCCACTTCCTCTGTCGTGTCTGCTCTTCCCTCGGTACGAAGAGGAAGAGGAAGAGGAAGAGAAGGGGCACGTGGACGACGACCGGCAGGAGGACAGCGAGGCGCGTGAGGACAGCGCCGTCGCGGAAGTCGTCGCCGCCGAGAAGGTCGTCGAGGAGGAGGCGTACGACGGGGTCGGGGACGCGGCGCGGGGGTAGCCGCCGCCGCCGCCGCTACTGAAGCTAGTGTCTTCGGAAGACCTCGTTCGTCCAGCGGCGGTGGCGGTGTGCCGCCCGTTCGACGTTGGCGTTTCCGGCTCGGTGGGCAAGGTGGCGGTGTCACCGCCATTGTAACTCGAGCAGAAGCTGACGCGCTCCGCGGGGGATACGCGAGCTCGCTTGTTGAAGGAAGAAGGGCTCAGTTTGTCATGCCTGGATTCGGGCGAGAAACGAGAGAATGTTGCAGAGCGAAGAACCACGCAAAGGGGAGAGGGGGGGGGCAGGGTAGGTGAGCAAAAGGGAGCACGGGAGCCACGATCGGGACAAGATCGCCGCGGCAAGGTTCGCAGGGTTTCGGGACAACAAAAAAAAAATTCCCGCGTCTCCCAACTAGCGAACGGGTACTGTTTTTCTTTGTTAGGGCCGTTGAAAGCTCCTGGAGCCAGCTTCTCCCCCTTGATTACAGGGTGCGGAATGTATGTCAACTGGTGAAAGTAATCATCCCCTCATAAATAAAACTAACAGACACCAGTAGGGCAAAAAGGCGCTATACGTGTAGGACACTACAAGCATCTCCACCGAATACTGAAGAACTCGATCCGCAAAAAATACGCAGAACAGACGTAATCTACAGCGACAACCAAAGCTCTTGCGACCCCAACATAAACATATCGTACAGCAGTGCTATTACATCAATGGGGGTAGTACAGAGTCTACTTGGAGCAACAATCCACCCGCCTGTACACCAGTACGCCACCGTGTAACGTCGCCGTACAGAACAAGCAAGCTACTTTCTTTTTATTGGTGAAAATTCTGCTTTGCGCTGATCTGATTGGTTGACAGGCAAACTTCAAGCTACAGTTTCAGAACGACATACGGTCATCAAGTAGGGACGGCCTTCTCTTCTTGCGGCGGGGGAAGGTAGAAGAAGGAAGACATCTTCTCGCGCGTGGGCTCGGCCAGCCAACGTAGCGTTGCAGCAGCGCAGGGGCTGGGCGTGGCTGCTTGCGTGGCCGAAGAGATCGAAAGCACGACGATGATGGCAGAGCGTCTTTTGTGTATTTTCGCGCCTGTTGCGTTTTTGGTTGGGAGGCAGCTCTCTTTTCTAGAAGAGAGAAAAACACAAGTCACGGGGAGGGGGCAAAGCAAGAAAACAAGAACGGCAACGGCAGCGTTGCAGGGTCCTCGGGGGCGTTATGCGGGCACGAGGCAGTAGCAGGCAAACATGTATCACCATGAGACCCCTCACGAATTTGACGTAAGACTTCTCGACTTTGCCAACTCCCTTTGGGCACCAAAAAACGCCCCGCTCACCTCGATGCCTCAATAGGCATTTCCGAAACCTGTGTGGAAGCCATGTGAAGTGTCTCGCGGCTTTGCTTCCTTCCTCCCTCTCTCCACGCTGTCCCGACCTGAAAGCACCTGTGCCGACTTGTCTTGACGGCGGTGACAGCGGCGTTGTTTCTAAACCACCACCTCGCCTACGTGTTGTAAAGCTCTCGGGGTCGAGATGACGTGGCACCAAAACTCACAAAACAATGGATGGCACCCTTTTGCTTGGCGTGTCTCTCCGGCGACAACAGACGTGCTCTCCCCGAACCAAAAATAAAGCGCAGGATCGTTGAGAGATCGATTTTCCGATGGCACGAAGAAGCGATTGCAGGTGGGGAAAGTCTCTGCTTCCTCTTCGGTGGCTGGCTCGTCGCTCGTCACGGGAAGAAGTTGGTCGTGCGTATCCACACGGTTCACGTTTCAGCTCGACGCAGCAGGCGTGAAGGGGGGGGACGGGGAGAGGGGATAGAAATTATACAATAGAGACGCTCACCAATCAGAAAAAAAATCGATTCCTTCCGCCGCCGAAATGCACACATCAGGTGTACCCTCTCGCCAACCGTTTGTACAGTGCGTAGCGGGTGTACCCTTCTTTAAAATATTGTGGGACGTGCTCGCTAGCACACCTCTTTGCTTTGGGGGCACATCCGTAGCGGGTGTAGATCTTGGGGAAGCCATGGATGCCGGACCGCACAGCACCGAAGCCGCTGCGGCAGGCTCGGGTTCGTCTGAAACACAACCATCATCATCAGGAGCAGGCAAGGAGGCCCAGCAGCAGCAACAACAGGACCAACCGCCGCCACCGCCACCTCTGCTCGGGCAACACGACCTGTACTCGTTGTCACCGCAAGCACCACTCGCCGCTGCAGTGGCCCCTTCCACCGACAGGGACAAGCAGCAGCAACAGCAGCAGCAGCAACAACAACAGCAGCAGCAACAGCAGCACCACTACCGAGCCCTCGCGCTCCCGGGCATCATGGCTTCCGGGAGCACGCCGGTCACCCTCAATGCGCTCAACATCAACCCGGCAGGGGTAGCGCTGCTGCCGTCGTCGGCCCTCTTGCCGCCGCCGCCGCCGCCGCTGCACCTAGCCCTTTCGACCCAGCCCCCGCCTACGGCCAACTCGCCGCGAGGCGCCGGATCTCCTTCTGCGAAACTTTCGCGTGGGGGTGCCGGCTCTGCGTTTGGTGGCAGCGGTCAACCGGATGCTGCCTCTCCTCGGGTGGCAGTAGCTGGGGGAAACCAGCAGCCGCAGCCGCAGCAGCAGCAGCAGCAGCAGCAGGAGATCGTGATCGGCGCGCAGTTCGAGACCAGCAAGGACTTGAGGGTCGCGGTGGAGAAGAGCCTCCTCGTTAACGGTCGCGGGCTCGTGTGCAAGAGGGTGAGTGTGCCTAGCGTTACTGTTGTAGTCTAGGCGTTTCTATGATTTGAGGGAGGCTCCGAATGTGCACAACATGCCGATAAAAAATGGAGCACTTCACGAAAAGGGTACACGGACCTTTCTTTACCTGTACACGGGGTTGTTACATACCGGTGTCATTACAGCGAACACAGCGGCGTGTCGTCGCTTTGCCCAGCCTGAAGATATGCATATGTATTTGCATATAGACACTTCAACATGTTCGGCCCAAAGACAACAATAGCTGTGGCTGGAGGAGGTGTGTGTCGAAAACTTCCCCTCAGCTTGTTTCTCGAGCAAGCGGTACGTCAAACCTCGCGACCCTATCGGGGCTTTGCCGTGCCCGCCCCTGCTTGTTGTCCTTCTGGACTTGTTAAGCAAGGAACTTGTTTCCTCGCGACGGGTGTTGGGACATTCTCTCGTGCCTTTGTATTTTGTCTGGCCTCGTTCTGATAGGCTTGTTGCAACAGAAGACGAAGGTGTCGCCTAAATAGTGAAGATATGTACGAGGAGGAACTGGATAATACAGAAGCCGCTGCACGTATTGTAGTACAGGACGCATTTTGCGGTGAAGACAGCAACAACTATTGATACAGCCACGACGACGACAACAACGACAACAACGACAACAACGTTGCAATACTTATTTCCATATTTACGATCGGATGCCACTATTTAAATATTTAAGGCAAGGTTGACGGCTAATTCAGGAGAGGCGAGAGGAGTAAAAGGCTAACAAACGCAAGGTACAACCGTATCGACGCCAAAGTCCCACGTTAAACGCACGGAGCTGCTTATTAGCAGTTTCAACTGTTGTGGAGCGCGAGAGTTAGAGTGGCAGCTCTGAAGGTCTGCTATCTGAAATGTTCATGCGGAGGCCTTGTTGGCTTTCTCTTCCCGTGCTATGCCATCGAGCACCAAAGGTCGAACCTTGGTTCTAATGTGTTTTGTCTTTGTTGTTTTTGCGTGGTCGGTCTCCTGTGCACCCGAATGAGGAAACGTGGAATCCATGGCGGTCTTGTTGTTGTCGCCTTTGGAAGTGGCTCTGTTGTTGATACAGCTGCGTCATGCTTCGAAGTTTTCATAAAAGACTCGTTCACGGTTTTGTCCCCTGCGCGCCCCCCCCCCCNCGGACGCCGCGCTCTAACTTCAGGGAGGCAGTCGCCAGAAGAAGTTCACATGCGCCGGGTGCAGCTATGTGGTTCGGGCGGTCAAGGCCAACGGTAGGGATCGATGGGCACGAAAAGGGAGGTAGCCAGCAGGCAGGGGAGCGTGACCACTCTCGGATCGATGATACGACATGTTTTGCTACTCGTCACAACTCCCGTATCTTGCTTCCACAAGGCGCCCGCCCGCCCCCGCCCCCCCCTTCCCCTCATTTCCACTGGAAGGAATCTTCTTTCACGGTAGAAAACACAAAGAAGGAGGCGCTCCGGATCGGTGCTCACCCCCACCCCACCCCGTCTTTCTTTATCTACGGCCTTTGTCTCTCTCCCTCTCGTTAGAATTAAGTTTGTGTCGCTGTACTTCCAAGAAGCGAAGCAAGAGCCTCTGCGTCCTTGGATGGCACAGTTATTTGATGAAGAGAGACGGGGGTCTTAATAGCCTCATGGCGGGCTCCTAACTCTACTGGTGGCTCTACAAAATATTCCTCCAAGCCTCGCGCAAAAGCCACCACGGTGGGGATGATGACTGGATGATGATGATTTTTGTGCCATCCAAGGAAGGAGGGGTTCTTGCTTCGCTTCTTAAAGGAAAAATGCTGGATTCTCAAGAGAAGTAGAGAGACAGAGGACGGAGATGTGTCAACTAACCAACCAACCGCCTGGTCAATAGAAGTTAGTACATATCCCATCCCATCCCATCCCGTCAACACCACCAACACCGCCAGTCACCGGCCTGTGGAACATCTCGAGCATCGAGGATCCTTTTTCTGTGTATCGACCAACTAGCCAACCGCCCGGCCAATGGAAATCTGTAAATATCCCATCCCATTCCACCAAATCAACACCACCCGCAGTAACTGGCCTATGGAAGATCTCGAGCATCGAGGACCCTGAGCACCCGGGATGCCTCGGGGGGCGCATGAGGCCGTCGTGCGAGGCTTTGATGGACGTGGCCGTGGCAGGCGCCATGGAGGTGGACACATCCGTCAAGGCATCAGCGATCCACGCTCAGCTCCGGCAACAGGTAGCTACATGCCGTGTGTCCGTGCTGTTGCTGCTTCTGCTACTCATAGTGTTGAGCCCCCCCCCCCCCCCCCCCCCCCCCCCCCCCCCCCCCCCCCCCCCCCCCCCCCCCCC